GGGGAGAGGGGGTGGCTATTGGTCCCCACCTCGCGGGGGGTGGCTCACCCCCCTGCGAGGTGGCTCCCAATAGCCAAGGGGGGGAGAGGGGGTGGCTATTGGTCCCCACCTCGCGGGGGGTGGCTCACCCCCTGCGAGGTGGCTCCCAATAGCCAAGGGGGGGAGAGGGGGTGGCTATTGGTCCCCACCTCGCGGGGGGTGGCTCACCCCCCTGCGAGGTGGCTCCCAATAGCCAAGGGGGGGAGAGGGGGTGGCTATTGGTCCCCACCTCGCGGGGGGTGGCTCACCCCCCTGCGAGGTGGCTCCCAATAGCCAAGGGGGGGAGAGGGGGTGGCTATTGGTCCCCACCTCGCGGGGGGTGGCTCACCCCCCTGCGAGGTGGCTCCCAATAGCCAAGGGGGGGAGAGGGGGTGGCTATTGGTCCCCACCTCGCGGGGGGTGGCTCACCCCCCTGCGAGGTGGCTCCCAATAGCCAAGGGGGGGAGAGGGGGTGGCTATTGGTCCCCACCTCGCGGGGGGCGGCTCACCCCCCTGCGCGGTGGCTCCCAATAGCCAAGGGGGGGAGAGGGGGTGGCTATTGGTCCCCACCTCGCGGGGGTGGCTCACCCCCCTGCGAGGTGGCTCCCAATAGCCAAGGGGGGGAGAGGGGGTGGCTATTGGTCCCCACCTCGCGGGGGGTGGCTCACCCCCCTGCGAGGTGGCTCCCAATAGCCAAGGGGGGAGAGGGGTGGCTATTGGTCCCCACCTCGCGGGGGTGGCTCACCCCCCTGCGAGGTGGCTCCCAATAGCCAAGGGGGGGAGAGGGGGTGGCTATTGGTCCCCACCTCGCGGGGGGTGGCTCACCCCCCTGCCATATTGGAAGTGATGTCAGCCTCTCCTCTCCGTGAATATTAGGAGCACTATCCCAGGCTAGGTGTACGCCTCCTGCTGTATGAGACGTCATATCATTCTCTTCCTTCTAGGATATTAATAACAGTATCACAGGCCGGGTGAACACAGCTTGCCATACTGTGATTATTATCATACTCTCCCCCTCCGTATACTAGGAACCATATCACAGAAGACCTGTACTCCCCCTGGGATATTGGGAGTAATATCATAAGCTTCTTCCGTGAATATTAGGAGCAATTTCACCAGGTGGCTGTCCATTCTTTGTTATGTTGGGTTTCATGTCCTACTCTTTCACCGTAGATATTAGGATTAATGTCACCACGTGAGTGTACACCTACTGCGATATTAAAACTAGTATTATGATCTCCGTCCCTGGATATTAGGAATGACATCACAGGTAGGTGTACACTCCTTGTGGTATTAGGAGTAATAATATGATTAATTATTAAACATAAATTATTGATTTTAATAATTATCAATGACACTATTAATTAGTAAATACCGTTATTAATTTTGGATAACTCTTTTACATATGTGATTATGCATGCTTAAAATTAATTATTAATTTTAATGTCATTTAACAATATTATTAGTTCTTAATATGAATCATTATTTTATTACCAACATCTCTTAGTAATGATTTAAGCAACATTAATTGTTGAAATCATTATTTTATTATTAATAATATTACTATTAATTATTAATATTAATCATTAACATTTTAAACCAGTATTAATTTTTACTATCTTAATTATGATTATTAATATCGATGATTATTATTAATTTTTATATTTATTAATATTAATAATTAATAGACTTGTTCCTGATATCCAGCGGGGAGAAGATGATATTACTCCCAACATCGAGGAAAGTGTACACCCCTCTATGATGTTATTCCTAATAGCCAGGGGGTATACGATAACATTATTGAAACTACCGCAGTGGGTGTCTGTCCCCTCGGTGGTCTTGTTTCTTATATCCTGGGTGGGAGAGGATGATATGACTCCCAATATCGCAGTGGGTGTAGACCTCCCCCGTGATATTGTCCCTAACATCCAAAGGTGGAGAGGATGATACTTCTTTCTATTTCACAGTGGGTGTACACCACCCCTGTGATATGATTCCTAATATCCAGTGGGCGAGAGGAATAGTCTCAATATTGCAGGAGGTGTACACTGCCGAGTGATATTGTTCCTAATATTCAGGGATGGAGAAGATATCACCCCCTATAGAGCAGTGGGTGTTCACTCCTTCTGTGACATTGTTCCTAATAGCCAGCTGGGGAGAGGAAGACATTACTCCCAATATTGTAGGGGGTATACACCGCCTTGTGATATTGTTTCCTATATCCTGGGAGGGAGACGATGATGCCAGCAGCAATATCGCAGGGGGTGTACACACCCACTGTGATATTGTTCTGAATATCCAGAGGGAAAGAAAATGATATGACTCCCAATATCACAGGGGGTGTACATCCTCCTGTGATATTGTTTCTTATATTCAGGGGGAGAGGATGATATGACTCCCAATATCGCAGGGGTTGTACACACCTTCTGCGATATTGTTCCTAATGTCCCAAAGGGGAGAGCATAATATTTCTCTCAATATCGTAGGGAGTGTACACCTACTTTGTAATATTGTTCTTAATATCCACGATGGGAGAGGATGATATGACTCCCAATATCACAAGAAGTGTACAGCCACCTGTGATATAGTTCCTAACATCTGGGTGAGGAGAGGATGATATTACTGCCCATACCGCTCGAGTTGTAAAACCGCTTTGATATTTTGCCTATAATCCTGAGGGGAGAGGATAATATTGCTCCCAATATCGAAGAAGGCGTACCCCCCCCCCGTGACACTATGCCTAATATCCACTTTGGGAGATGATGACACTACGCCCAATATCGCAGGGGATGTACACCCACACTGGGATATTGTTCCTTATATAGAGAATGGGAGAAGATGCTATTGCTCCCAATAGCGCAGGGACTGTGGCTGTACACCCCTCCTGTGATACTGTTCTTAATATGCTAGGGAAGAGAGGATGATACTACACCCAATATTGCAGGGGAAGTACACCCACCCAGTGATATTGTTCTTAATGTACTCCACCTCCCTTCACCAGGGATATCGTTCCTAATATCCAGGGGGAGAGAGGATAACATTAAGCCCAATATCGTGGGGCAGTGTCACACCCTCTGTGATGTTGTTCCTAGTATCCAAAGGTAGAGACAATGATATTACTGGCCATATGGCAGGGAGTGTACACCTTTCTGTGATATCGTTTTGGACATTCAGTGGGGGAGAGGATAACTTGAATCCCAATATCGCTGAAGGTGTACAGACCTCTGTGATGTAGTTCCTAATATACAGGGGAAAGAGAAGAATATTGCTCTCAATATCACAGGGGGTGTAACCACCCTGCCCCCTGTATATTGTTCCTGATATGCAGCGGGGTGGAGGCTGACAGTACTCCCAATATCCCAGAAGGTGCACACACACCCGTGATATAGTTCCTAATATCCAGCGGGAAAGAGGCTGATTTTACTTTCGATATCGCAGTGGGTGTACACCGCCCCCAAACCTCGGGTATCGTTCCTAATATCCAGGCGGGAAGAAGATGACATGGCTGATAATATCGAAGGGGGTGGACACCTCTTCCGTGATATGGTTCCCCTTATCCAGGGGGTGAATGGATGATATTACTCCCAATAAAGTAGGAACCGTACAGCCACCCTGGGATTTTGTCCTTAATAACCACAGGGGAGAGGTGATATTACTACCAACATTGCAAGGGGTGTACACCCCTCCTGTGATATTCTTTCTTACATCCAGGAAAGGAGAAGATGGTATTACTACCAATATTGAAGGGATGGACAGCCCCTAAGAGATATTGTTCTATAGATACAGGTTGAAGGAGGATGAGATTCCATCCAATATAACAAGGGGTGTACACCCCGCCTGTGATATGAATCGTAAAACCTAGAAGAAGAGAGAATGACATTGCTTCCAAAAACACACGGGGTTAACACCCACCCTGTGATATTGTTCCTGTCATCCAAAGGAAGAGATGATGATACTACTCCAACTAACGGAGAAGGTACACACCCTCTGTGATATTGTTCCTCATAAGTTGTGGGGGAGAGCATGATATTACTTCCAGTATGACAGTGGCTTGACACCTAGTCTGTGATATTGCTCCTAATTTCCAGTAGGTAAAGTACGATGTTCCTGCCAAGAGAGTAGTGGATGTACAGCTGCCCTGTGATATGTCTCTGAATATTCAGGGAAACAAAGGAGGACATTACCCCAAATCTCCCAAAAAGTGTACACCCGTTGTGTGGTATGGTTGCTAATATTCGGAGATGCAGAGGATGGTATTTGTTCTCCTGTCGCAGGCTGTGTACACACAACCTGTGAAATTGTTCCTAATATCCTGAACAAAAGAGATGCTAATAATGGACACACATTGCAGGGGGGAGTAATTGGCTATTACGATCCACATCGCAGGGGGTGAGGCACTCCCCACAATATGGGGAGTAATAACAACCCCCTCTCCCCACTGGCTATTACGATCCATGTCGCAGGGCACTTCAGGACACCTGCCCTGCCCCAACCTTAACCGAGACAGTGGGTGTCATGGGACCACCTCAGGGTGGGTGGCAGCTCAGCTCGAAGGTATCCCTGCTGCCAAAGACCAACTGCTCCTGCTAGTTTGAATCTGGCCACAGGGTCTCTGTTGGTGAGACAGGTGACCTTGAGGCAGACACCCTGAAATCTAGCACGACAGAGCTCAACGCCCCCATGAGAGGCATCATAGCACGCAGACATTGCAGACATACTAGCGAAGGCCGCAGCAGGCCCTGAGTGAGGAACAAGCTGACCAAGATCCTGGGGTTCTGCCACACAGCCCTTAAACCAGGGACTGGAAACTGTTTCCCTAAAGAGCCAGGAGTCAGTATTTTCAGCTTTGCCAACTGATCTTTGCCTCAAGGATGCAACTCTGCCATGACTGCACGACAGCAGCCTTCTGCAGGTGGCCTGTGAAGAGATGGGCATGACTGCACCCCCATCAAACTTTACTTACGGACATGGACACTTCTCAGTGACATGAAGTGTTTTTTTTATTTGTTCAACCATTTGGAAATGTAAAATCCATTCTTGATTCACAGGCCACAAGAGGAAGCAGGTACGGGCTGCCCCTGGCCGACCTCTGGAATGAGCTTAGAGAAGGAAATGACAGGCTTGGCCAGCATAGCCTCCTCACAGCAGATCCACTGCAAGAGGGTCCTTCATAGCAATCACTTCTCATCCTTCATCTTGGCTTCAAGTGCAGTTCAGGTGGAGAAAGAGAGACAGAACCCGCCTCAGCAAGAAGAAGGAAGGAGATGCAGGGTCAAGCAGCTGTGTGGATCCATCACACTCAACATTCACACCAAGAGGAGCACAGGCAGGACCAGCCCCAGGGGGCTGAAGTGGAGGCTCTCTGGGGTGGAGGACCTCTGGGTGGGCAAGATTCTCTACCTAAAACTCACATAGAAGATCTACACAGCAGTAGTTACAGAAAACACACACTAAGAAAAAGGCCAAAATAAAAATAGGACACCAAGTTTGGCCAAACGGGTCTCACAAGCCAGTAGGTAAGAAAGCCCAGGAGGGCCCACCAGAGGAGCTGGGGTTGAGTTCCTGCCTGCAGGGGGCCTGGGACACCCCATTCCCACAAACGAGGACCTAAGCTTTGGGGAGGAAGCTGTCAGAGTCACCCAGTGAGCTGCTCAGAGCTGGAGCCAGAGAGCAGGTGAGGAGCCCTGGCCACGTCCCCGTACGGGCTGAGAGGCTGGGGTGGGGCACACCCCCCAGGGACAAATGCAAACAGTGGACCATGGGCCCTCCTCCTGCCCAGAGGATGCTCAGCTCCCAAGGGACCACCAAGGCCTGGAACCCAGGGACACACCACCTGACCATCATGCCCAGGCCTCCTGGACCAGGCAATGTCCAGTACAGGCAGGCAGTCTGGGCTTGGGGCCAGGACAGGGGTGGATGGTCCTGCTAGGCAGGCCTCCTTCTCCCTACCAGCTGGGCTGGTGGCACTGTAGTTTTGTTCTGGCAACATATTGCTGCCCACTTTGGCCACACCAGTCCCTGGCTCCCTGGATAGACCCAGTGCTGTCCAACCCACCTACACAGGCCCCACTAACCCAGTGCCCACCGGTCTCCCGTCAGCCAGGAGGACTCATGCTCACCCCCTGAAGTATCCGTGGGAACCCGCATCCCACAGGGACCCACAGCTCAGGGCCAACCTCCATGGGGCCTCTTGGTTGTGGTGGTAGGGGCAGGGGGCAGTTGACCTCCAGCCCTCCCATCCTGGCCACTGTGTTTTGTGGGGATCATTCGGTCCTGGGAGCTTCCTGGGGATCCCAGAAGGAAGAGAACAAGGTGGTCATGGCAGCCTCAGCCCCAGGCTCTGGGCCCAAGCGCAACAGAAGGAAGAGAACAGGGTGGTCATGGCAGCCTCAGAACCAGACTCTGGGCCCAAGTGCTACAGTCTTTCGGTTCTGGTTTGATCTGCTTGGTAACAACATGTCTTGTCATTCACACAAGCATTGGCTTCAATATAATGCATCAAGGGACTGTGGAGGACACAGATCAGCCTCCAGGCCAGTTACACCTGGTGACTTAGCCAATGCAGGCTGGGGAGTGGAAAAGCTGACCCCTGACCTCCCCACCTACCCTGCCCACCAGATGCCAGTAGCGGCCAGGGATCCCTGACTTCAGGCAGAGGCAGACAGCACAGTTGCTGCCTCCCTTGATCCCATCCCAGGGCCCACAGGGCCTGGAGAAACCTGGCAGGGGCTGAGTTGGGAGAATCAGGCAGGGAGATGCCAAGTGAAGAATGTGAGGGACTGGGTATGAGGGGCACTAGGGTACAGGGTCTGCTTCCCCTGGGGAGGTGGCAGTGAGACATATAGTAGCCAAGCCTCCACAGGCACCACCCTGCTGCCAGGCACACGTGGTGCCCATACCCACCCCAACGGCTGCAGGAAGGTTCTTCATCAACAAAAGGGGAGGACGCACCCACAGCCACATAGGCATTGGTGCCCACACACACCAGAGAAGATAATTGCTGCTGTGCCCAAGGTGTGCGGAAAGGGGCAATGTCCCCTTCCTCCCCATGGTGGGTCCAAAATTACCCGCTCCTGCCAGCACCCCCTCCCCCAACTCCACAAGCTGCTGACCTCCACCACGGTGCCATGCCACGTGCCAAGAACAGCTCAGCGGTACATCCCAAAGGGTGCTATCCTGGAGTGGCTGTGCTGGGCAAGGGACACGTTTCCTAGTCACAGAGGTTTTCTTTCTTTACTGCTCACCGGCCCTGTGCCTCGGTTTCCCCCACTGTGGCACAGTGTAAAAATCCCATCTTGAAGGTTAGGAACCCAGAAAGGTCACCACACCTGGTGAAATGGGGGGTGAAACTTCCTGCCTCGGACCTCTTGCTCCAGGACTGATGTCCACTGGGACATGGCCAGGCCAGCATCCTGGGGAGGGCTGCATTCCCTGCCTGGGGAACCTTGCTCCCAGTTAGGGGTCACTGGAGTTGAGGCCCCTAATGGATTGGGGAGGCACAGGGGTAGAATGGAGGTAGCCCCATCATACGGGCCTGTGTAGACCCCAGAAAACAAGCATTGAGTTCAGACTCGTGTGTGAAGTTGGCCACCTGAAAGTATTTGGGCTTTGGGGTGTGATGAGGGCCTGGGGTCAGGGAACAAAGTGTTCTGGTTTGGACACGCAGGAGGTTCTCTGCAGCTCTCTCAGGTACAGGGTATGTTGCTAAGTATATGCTTTTAAAAACCCAGGAGGAGGGGGCACCCAGAAGGGGCCCTGAAGTCAAGGGCATGGTCCAGTCCTTCCACCTGCCCAGCTGAAGACAGGCTGGAGGACAGTTCTCCAAAGTTTCATAACAAAGAAGAGAAAAAAGAAATCAAAAAGACCTGGAGGATAGACAAGCTAATGAGGGCTGACTAGGATTACCCTGCCTAATCTTCAAAACAAGCCTTCCCTATCTGTCCTCTGGGCGAGGTGAGGAAACAGGTCACAGTAGGACATTCAGACCCTGGGCAGGCAGCTGGCAGCCTGGAGCCCAGTAGGTGTAAACACATTTTGACTAAGGCACGTCCTGCACAGCCCTAAATCCATTCAACCTTGAGTCAATACAGCACCTGCTTCTGTGAGCACAGGGTTGGGTGTAGGGTGACAGATTAACAGCATCTCAAGGCAGAATACTTTTTCCTAGTACAGATCAAAATGGACTTTCTTGTGTCTTCGTCTTTCTCCATAGACACAGTAACAGTCTGATCTCTCTTTCTTTCCCCCACACAGAGAGTGTCACCACTGTATGTCAGCTACTGGGGGACAGGCTTCAGCTTACACCCACCTTTGAAATTCCTTCCTCTCACCTTGGCAGAAGCTGGCCAGGAATTGGGGCCAATGGATGGGTGGGGTCTGCACGCGACACCGTGTTCAGGTCCCCATGACGGCTTCACACATGGGTGGTGGCCCTGCTGTTCCAGGTGCCACACACATGTCAGCCCCTGCTCAGGCCCTGATCTTTGAGGAGGGGGAGCAGCAGAACCCGGGCACTGACGCCACAGTGCCACTCACACCCACAGACGATTCTCCAGACAGGCATCAGGTCTCGGTCCTGGCCACCTCCCCCTGCAGGGCCTCAGCTCTTTCCTGGGACTCACATGGTCCTTCCTCACATGCAGTTCTGGTAGGATGCATTGATCTGTACCCACGGGCTCTGAAGTGACAATGGTCACCCTCGTCCAGAGTGCAAGGGCACAGGCTGGGTGCCCATTGTGGGAACCCTGACTGCAGCACTCCCAGACTATCATCGGACATGCTGGCCCCCAGGCTTAGCTAGGGCACCAGCGGTAGGAGTGCACTGCTCTGGACTCTGCAGGAGGAGGACAACTGTCACCGCATCTTTATGTTCTGCTGGTGTCACTCTGTGCTTCTCATCTCCTGGTTGCACGATTCAGGGCAGAATCTCTGAACACCTTGTGGGAAACAGCACAGTCCAGCAGAGAAAAGGAGAAAAGCCCAGCTGCAAAGATGAAAAAATGGCAGGTGTGACATGGACCCCCATTCAGATTCTGTATTTAAATGAGGTCTTCCGGAACACTTGCTCTCATTGGATAATACTTCAAATATATATATATATATATACATACATACACAAAATACATATATATATATTATTTTAATTTATTTAATTTTTTTATTGAGACAGTCTCACTCTATAGCCCAAGCTGGAGTGCAGTGGCATGATCCCGGCTCACTGCAACCTCCACCTGCCGGGTCCTGGTTCAAGCAATTCTCCGGCCTCAGCCTCTGGAATACCGGAGATTACAGGCATGCACCCCCATGCGGGGCTAACTTTTTGTACTTTTAGTAGAGACGGAGTTTCACCACGTTTTCAAGGTTGGTCTTGAACCCCTGGTCTCGAGTGATTCACCCACCTTGCACTCCTAAAGTGCTAAGATTACAGGCATGAGCTAAGTGCTAAGATTACCCGGCCCATTGTGGCAGCTTAATCACAGAGGAAAAGAAGGCCTGGACCCAGCAGGAAGATGATGAAAACGGGTAAGAGCAGCTCTCTCACCTATGGTGTTGCCAGGCACTTCCAACTTTCAACATAAGGGACGCTAAATAGCTTTCCCAGCAAAAACTGAGATGGTGGGTAAAACCTACAAAAATGCATCTTTGTAAGTGCATTACTGAGCTGGCATTGAAGGATGGAATCCACAGCAGTCAATAAAGAATTGGCAGGAACCAAAGTGGAATTTTTTTTTTTCTGTTTAGACAGTTGCACAGAGGATGGGGCATCAGAAACAAAACTGGATATCTCTCCAAAATGAGGTCAGAAATCTGACATCTTAGGCTTAAAATAAAAGCCCACCTCAGAGCAGGAGGAGCAAGGAGAGCAGCTGTCCCTGCATTGGTGCTGGGTGGAGGGAAAACCACTGACCCTGAGAACCGATGAGAAACAGTCCTCCAGGAGTTCATGCTGGAAGACCTGGAGAGCATGGGTCAAATCGACGTGGCACCAGGAGGCTGCTCACTTCACCTCTACCCCATGTGAGTGAACATCTTTGCTGAAACAATGCAACCCTGTCCTCAAAATAGTTCCCCACATAAAATTCCAAGGAAGATAAGTCCGCGTGCAAAAAGTTACAAAACAAGTCAACAACGTGCTGTGGATACATCCGATAATTCAAGAAACAAATTCAGCAGAGCCACAAAAATCCAAAAGGTGGAAAAGATCAACTGCTGGCAAAGTATCCACTGCTGTTGCTCCTGTTAAGAGATTGTATTTCATAAAAAGCTAGACACGCCCCTCTGTGGCCTCACACTTGCCTTCTCAGGCATGTCTGCCCCAGAAATGCCCTTGGAGTGTCTTCTCCAAGAGAAACGTACGGGGCAAGAATATTTAGGCAGTGATTGCAGAAATAGAAAATACCTGAAAGCCATCCAAACACACCTCTATCAAGGAAAAAAGCTGGCATAGTCACATTGTGGAATATGATACAGCTGTGAAAATGAACTGCAGTTAGAAGCATCAACAATGAAAAATTACAGTGAACAAAGGAAATTACTGAAAAATACACTGCTATTCCATATACAGTTCACAAACCCTAACATATGACATTGCTTAATAATATACACAGAAATGATAAACCTTATGAAAAGCAAGACAAACATTAACACATTAGTCCTATGTCTGGGTGAAGAAGGGAGAGCCAGGTGATCAAGGACGAGCATATTGTAGCCTTTCAAGACAGTTGATGCTAATGGATGATGACATCAGTGCAATTATTAATCTATCGGATTATGCATTCAGTTTTGTTTGTTTGTTGGTTTTTGAGGCAGAATTTTGCTTATGTAGCCCAGGCTAGAGTGTAATGGCATGATCTCAGCTCACTGCAACTTCTCTCTCCTGGGTTCAAACAACTCTCCCACCTCAGCCTCCCGAGTAGCTGGGATCACAGGTACCTGCCATGATGCTCAGCCAATGTTTTGTATTTTTTTAGTGGAGACGGGTTTCACCATGTTGGCCAGGCTGGTCTTGAACACCTGACCTCAAATGGTCCACCCGCCTCAGTCTCTGAAAGTGCTGGGATTACATGCCCACCCAAATTTTATAGACTCTTATATGTCACATATTTCATAATTAAACATAAAAAATAAAATATTTACTGTAGCTTGTAAATGAAAGAGCAATAAAAAATGTTGCAAACTTTTAAACATCAAACCTGTTGTATAGCTCATAGTGACCCTCGTATTAAGCTGTGGTAAGTTCCAAGTTGTATTTCATTGTCATTTTCTAAAACTAGATGAACAGATGAAAAACAGAATTCAGTTTTAAAACATGATATTAAGATAATGTTACTGGTTAAAGGTGTCCCGGTTCTTGGTGCCTTGAACCAAGAATTGGACACAACGCAAAAGTGGAGCAAGGAAAGAATGAAGCAGCAAAGCAGAGATTGACGGAAAATGAAAGCACACTCCACAGGGTGGGAGCGCCTGAGCACAGGGAGCCCGTTACTGAAGCTTCTGGGCTTCAAATCCCCTCTAGA